ACATTCAAACCTTAGTAACGAAAGTCATGTATGTAAACCCTCTTATTGACGTAAAACTTCATCTCATTATTGACATTCCGTTATTTAATGTATATGTTGCACGATGTGTGCGATATTTGACAGCATCATTGATATGTTTGCCTTTTTTATTACACCATATGCATGATATAAAATTTCAAAATGTTAAATGATCATGTGTTACAAAATTAAAAGTAAAGAGTAAGTTCAGCAATTCTGAATTCATATTTTCATATTAGTTTTCATTGACATTGTATTAATGAATCATTGCGAAGATTCCTTGCCCTTTGATGTATTTATTTAGTGTTGTTATATTTTATAATGAAATTTCGTTATTTTCAAAACTTAAGTTAAACTTCCTTCGGCGGATATATATTAAAATGTTGGAGTTAACTGAAAGAAAAAAATATTTCCTCCGACCAAATGTTTTATGAACAGCTTAACATGCACATTATTACGTAAGTTGTCTTAAACAATAACAGACAATGTGTATTATGTGTTTCTTTTTTGTTTCCTCTTAAACAATTCCTAAGAGGGCTATTTTCTTTATGATAATCTATTTTGTATCCTTCAATTAGCTTTTGCTGATGCCAAAAAAATGAGCATGACTTTTTTCTCCTCCTCTGAAAACATGCAGTTTATCATTTCTGTTCTTAACGATTTCTTGTATAAACATTTACTGTAATTATTACGATGGGAGATATACAAAGAGCAACAAGACTTTCTTTAAGTACTATGTATGTAATACAAAGTCCTCTGAAAATAAAATTTCAAGATAAAAATATCTCTTCAATGTTACTTCCTTTTCCGTTATCATTCAAAGTTATGACAATATTTCTATATATTGTAAAAATTTTATTTTACATCGCAAGAAAATAAAAACTAAGATTTACTAGAATGACTTACTAAGGTTGGTATATATAAGATATTATTCTATTATTTATCAAGTGCACTTTTTTTTAAAGACTAATTACATTAAGAACATCCTACATTCTACATTTTGTTGTAATTGGCTTCTTTTGTTATTTTTTGATACATTATTTATTTTTAAACAACACATCATTATTTGTCGTTTATGCTTAAATCAACATATTGCCTCAAAGTAGGAGGAAAGCCAAATTACTTTGTAAATGTAGGAGGCATAACAATCATTATACCTTACTTAATCATCATTGTGGGAAAAAACAACTTGTTTTCAGAAGAATTATTGAAATGACAAGATGGTAAATTCCACAATCTATATATATTTCATAGGTAGATTCATTAGAATAAGGACAATATTATTTCTAACACGTTTAATATAAGGAAGTCTGACAAGACATTAGCCCTTTATCGTCCATTGGTTTACTTGAACATGCCTATTCTGGTTATCTTCGACATGTCAATGCATATTCAATTGCTGCAGTTTGTACGTCACGGAAAGTTGCCCTTACGTAGTAATATCAGATTATGTAATCGAATTTTCTAGAATTGTTCTTGAACTAGGCACATATTAGGATGTTATAAAGGAAAAATAAAGCCAAATATGAGTAGACGTTGATAAAAGTTGGCATGAACTGTATGAGGTGGGAACGGTAAAATATAGAAGAAAAGAATCCATAAAGAACGCTGACAAGAAAACGTCTAACTTGAAAATGTTGCAGGCTCGTTTTTATTGAGCCTGTTCATGGACGGTGCTGAAAAATGCAAGTGAATGTCCACGACCCCTAACACCGGTTCAAGCAGAATTCAAAATTTAAGCATGAAGTGGTGAAATTTTGTATTTAGAAACATTCACAGATGTGTTCATCCGGCAGTTATCATGGAACATTCAATGTGACAAATTAGTGTTATTCCATGAAAAGCGGCGTATGGTCCCCAATTAAAAAATGCTTGTGCCAAAAACGTGAAAACAATGGGCGAAACTAAACAAAATTGAATTTTGAAAGGGGATCAGAGGCTATAAAACCCGCATTTCACAGATAAGAAGTCAGAGACAAAGTTAAAAAGCAGGCAACATATCCTCAGGATGTAGGAATATTGGGACCACCCAACTTGAAAATGCCAAGTAGTTTAAACTAAACAGTACCACAACCACATCAAAAACGTCGTGCTGAACGATCTTTCAGGAACAGTAAAATCTGGTAAAAAGGGAATTTTTTCTTGCTATTTGGATACTGTCGGTTATGTATTTCTTTTATATTTTATACTATCATCAATAATGATTACTTTCAGTGTGGAAAATTTAAAATTGAAAGTAAAATTAAAATTTGTATTTATACATGATCAATGTATCAGAGATTTGTTTTATTGTGGAAAAATAGGATTTTGACATATTGGTACATGTAAGTTAGGTAAATGAATTTTTCTCTATCTGATTCGAATTATTTTCAAATATATTAAAAGTGAACAATATCATTGCTTTTATTTATTGTTTGAACATTAAGCTATATCCGATGCTGTTATTATGCTTGAGCAGGAATATGTATGGTTTCTTTTCAGCTAACAAGAGTATCGCAAAATGCAATTTAATATGGACGTTAAAGTTGTCAATTACTTCTTGCACGTATATTCATATTAACCTATCATGTTACGAATGTATTAAAACATTTTTTGAACGTTTAAGTTGTCAATTTGTTCTAGCACATAGATTCATATAAACCTATCATGTAACGAATATACTAGTATTTAATTTCTTCTTTAAGTACACATTGTTTGAATTGATACTTAATTCTGTCATAGATTTTAAGATGCATTAAAATAGTGAACAATGTATACATGTAAATGGACTTTAATCACTAACACATGGCCACGTATTTGTTATCAAATTAACTCTTTTGATATTAAATTGAACGCAAATCATACAATTTAAATCTCAATTTAAACACGGACGAGCTTAGCAATGCGAGCAATAAAATAAATTAAATTCAACATTAATTACATAAATGGAGTATATCAGATCTATAAAATTGTACAACTTATTTCATTTACATTTGAAAATGGTTGCGCAAAATGATTTTTAAAGTATTGTTTCCATTTATTTCACTGGTAACTGAGGAAACGTTTTTTCATAGAGTTTCTTCTCTTTCCCTTGCAATAAGTGGGCAACCGATCACTGTTCATATTTTTTTGTATATTTTTGTGTCATGAACTATATTTTAGATATCTATTTTGTGTTTCGCACAAAACAATTGTCTTCATAACATGACTGACTTAAAAATAACTAACAATCCAAGAAAACAAACAACGCCATGTGTTATGCTTATCACTTTGCTGAAGAAACTATTGTATGAACTGTAATAATATATTCGTTGATTTAAGTGTTGCAGCAACAAGAGTTAATTTTATGTTAAAGAAGGAAAACGTTGAGTTTCACGAAATTCACTTATAATATTCACTTATCATCAATTTTTCTTTGGTTATTTCCTTTGGAATATAATTACACAGAACTTCCGCCTTCCACTGTTTAAAAGATTATTTTTCCTCTATGTCTAAAATGCTAATGAAAGTTTTTTTTATGTAAATGCAATTTTAATAACCTCTTCTAGTGACAATCAATTTAATTATGCCATTAACTAAACTATTTTGATTTAAATGGGTCACATTTCAGAGAATACAAATAAAAGTTAATTGAGTCAATGAATAATTGGTCAGCGTCGAAAAATTAGTTACAAAAATCTCAATTCATAATTGACACTGTAAATTATCAGCATTTGTTTTTTCATTGACTTTCATTTAGGGACATCAGAAAATAGACTACATGATCATCTGCTTATGTGAACTGACTTAAAAGAGTATAACGTGATTAGAATAATAATAATGCTATGGATAACAAATAGCACAGTTTCTATCAAAGTCCGTTATAGAACATGTATTTTGTCTGATAAAAATATCTGATAAAATTTTATCTGATGTTATAATCAAATAACAAAGAGTGAGCGGAGCGATTTATAAGACATTGCTTTGAAATCTTTGTTAAGTCAATTGAAAGTTAAAACATGCATAGAGAATGACATTAAATTAAACTAAACTGTATATGAAGTATTAGATATGGAAAACATAATATGTTCTTTATGAAAGCTTATTGCAGTTTGGAAACTAGATAACTTAAGCTTGAAATGCTATTTAAACAAATAAGTGATACTTTCCTTAAAGCAGCAAAGAAAAATGATTGAATATTTGAGCCGCGCCATGACAAAACCAACATAGTCTGGATCCATGCTGTCGCAAACGCACTTTGTTTGTTTTGTAATGGTGCGGCTCTATTATCGAAATGCTGAGTCAAGTGTTCATATCTAAAAATATTTTATAAATAATTCATTTTAATAAAATAATTTCCATTGCATTTGATGTTGTATTAAAACATAACAGGATATTTATTCACCGTTTGTTTTCTTTCTAAATGATTTTCCCGTGAGGACAGATTCCTCTAACTGATTATCTGCGTCAACAAATGTTCGCTGACGCGCCCCCTTCAAATAATCAAAGCACTGAAAGTACTGTTGGAAGGAAATTTTCATAGAAATTCCCGATGCGTGTGAATTAAAAACAAAGGAATATGTGCAAGCTTCAATCTACAGCTTGCTGATTTGATGACGTAAAATGTGACGTCATTGTTTCCGTTTTTGCACTACTCATGTTCAGTGGGCTGATAACTAGTTCTTGGCCCAGGGCCTCAAACCCATAAGTTGTGACACTCATAATCAGTTGAAATCATAGGCAATTCTGTTACTAATATAGTAATAAGTGAATTAATAAATAATACTACTGCATTATGAACACAAAGAACCACTCAGTTTGACCTAAATCGGCCATGACTTATATAACTACTTCATAAGAATTCAAGACCATGCCATAAGCATTATTTAATCATAGTTAATGAAGAGACTCAAGGACAAGAAAAGCTCATCATGTGCTTACATTTGTAAGTTCAAACATAACTAATTGTGTTTTAGTATGAAAATGATGTACATGCTGTTAAAGTCATAGCAAAACAAAGAACAATGATTTAAAATAAACTTTTATTGTCAAAACTTGCATAAAAGTAAAAATATATGTGATATAAAAAATAAATGATTAAATATATGGAGATAATGAAATTTAGTTTGTCAGATAAAATGTGTAAAAGGAACTCCACTGAGGTTTTTTGACATGATGAGACTGAAATTTATTTTTCTAGATTAATGTACCACTTGATGTATGTTTTGACCACTAATCTTTGAGAAAAATTTCAGATCATTTGCGCACTTCCTTTTTCAAGAATAATTATTCAAATTGTAAAAAAGTGACCCAAAATGAAAGCATTTAAACACATTTCACGCAGATCAGGCTGAGAAAAGCATAAAAAAATTGATTTTCAATTTATTTCAAAGTATATTTCTTCACTATCTGTGCATATATTTCTGTATCAAGTGCCCCGGCTCATTTCTGTAGAAATTCAAATGTTATGTTTTAGGCTTTTAAACCTCAATGGACTAAGTCCCTTTAAATTATTGGTACATATTGACGTGACACAAGTTATAATAATCTGAATGAAAGAAGCTTTAATGCAAACGGCCAGTAATATAGGAGGTGCTGTTTTAAGGATTTTTTACATACAAGACTTACATTATACAACAAAATATAGTCAAAAGTAGAAATGTGCCCATAGGACTTGAATGCCTGCGTTAAGAACAATGCTTATATTGAGTGGGTAATCAAAATATGTACATAATTAGACAAGCCCACTGGCAGCATATATCAAGCCTGTTGCCATTATTCAGAACTGAACCTTAAAGCTTCAGATTGGGGAGAAAGATGTATACGTAAGTGAACATTTGTGATAAATGTTATGTAAATCCAGCCATGTATATAGAAATATACTCTCATGTTTTAAAGTATTATTTGACTTTTGATCCAAAGTAGTGACCTTGATTTACAGACACCTGATTTTTCATACTACTCCAACTCACTAAAGACTGTTAAATTTTGTCCAGAACTATATGAAAAATCTTTATAGATTTCAAAAGCATTCAAATATTATCAGTTATAAATCAATTTTTTGCATATGATTTGGTAAGGAAGGCATAATGTTGTATAAATTTTGTGGAATGTAACTGAAATCATAATTGACCTGTGTTTTGATATATTGTTGAATATACCAGTTATAAATTGAATCCTTAAAAGGTGTACAAATCTTATTGGTTGGAAACTAAAATTTCAGTGGAAATTTCACATACTGACCGGACTGACAGACAGGGTAACACTTAATGCCCTGTCACCATTCTTTAAATTGCATGGGCATATAAACATAGAACAGGTTAGCTTACAAGAGCATTTCTGTTTTCATATTTTACTAGGTAAAGTACAAAGAAATGATATTTTTATAATTTTATGAGCCATCACATCAAACCGTGATCAATGTAATATGAAGTATGGGAAAATAAGTAACAAGAAGTGCATGTTTAACTAAAACAGAATGTATGATTCAGAGGAACACTGTAAAAATAAAGTAAATAATGTTAAAAAAAAAAACAACAACAAAAAAAACATAAAAAAAGTTGACCATCATTTGGACTTTCATGAGTTGGCCATGCTAATCTTAAAATAAGAACATAAATAAAATACAACATTATACAAAAGGTAGTACAAAAAATACAATGATCAAAAGTTTGAAAGTGAACACTTGTTGGTAAAATAAACAAGAATTTGTAACAGAGATACCAACATCCCCCGCCTCAGGGAAGTTTTATATGAAGCAAAATATTGTGCTATTTCAAAAGATTGAGGCAGGGATCTAAGGATTTTCAGTCCAAAATTATGATCAATGCTAGATCTGCAAATGCAACAATAAATTTATTAAAGAAATAAAATGAAATACTGAATTTCAAAATGTATCATGTTAAGCTTTGCAGGGATTTTTTTGGCTTATTTTATAGCCGTTATTGGGACATATTCCCAATTGAAAATAGTATATTATTTTCCCAATCCAAAGGAAAATATTCCCAATTGAAAGTTACAAAAAATATAAATATTGAATAAAGAATTCTAAAATCTTTGAAAATAAGGGCTTCTTTACTGTAATAGTGTTTAAATGTTTGAAGAAGCCATCCTAGGCAGTGATTGCTTGCATACATTTAATCACTGCAAACTTTCAGTCATGCATTTTTTCCCAATTTTAACAAAATATCGCTGAAATTCCCAGTTGCATGGGTATGGCACTATGGGTTATGTTCCCAAAATCCTGGAAAAAATCCCTGCTTTGACCTCTTAGTGTGACCTTGACCTTGGAGGTAGGGGTGCAGGTGTTGTGCATGACATATCATCTTATCATTGTGACTACTTGTGCCAAGTATTTTCCAAATCCCTTCATCTATGAAGAAGTTATGGACGAAGCATAAAATATACCATATAACAGACTTTGTTACCTTTATACCTCTAAGTGTGACCTTGACCTTGGAGGCAGGGGTGCAGGTGTTGTAACTGACATATCGTCTTATTATTGTGACTATTTGTGCCAAGTTATTTTAAAATCCCTTGAACTATGAAGAAGTTCTACATTAGACACAATATATACCCTTTAAAAAAACAATGTTAATTTTTTACCTCGAAATGTGACCCTGACCTTGGAGGTAGGGATGCAGGTGATGCGCATGACACATTGTCTTATTATAGTGAATATTTGTGCCAAGTTTTTTCAAAATCCTTTGATATACAAAAAAGTTATGGACCTGACAAAAAAATACCCTATAACAGGCTATGTTAATCTTAGACCTCCAAGTGTGACCTTGACCTTGTAGGTTGGTGACCGATTGTTGCGCATGACACATCATCTCATTGTTGTGAACAATTGTGGCAAGTATGTACAAAATCCCTTCAAAGATAAGAAAGGTATAGACTGGACACGAGATATACCCTCAAATGGACAATGTTGACCTTGAATGAGCAAGTGTGACCTTGACCCTGAAGGTAGGGGTCTGGTTGTTGCACATCATCGTCTTATTATAACAAACATTTGTGCCAAGTTATTTCAAATTCCTTCAATAAATGACAAAGTTATGGACCGGACACGAAATATACCCTGTAACAGGCTGTGCTAATATTTGACCTCCAAGTGTGACCTTGACCTTGGAGGCAGGTGACCTGTTGTTGAGCATGACACATCTTCTCATTATTGTGAGCAATTGTGGCAAGTATTTACAAAATCCCTTTAGAGATAGGAAAGTTATAGACCGGACACGAGATATACTTTCAAATAGACAATGTTGACCTTGAATGAGCAAGTGCGACCTTGACCCTGGAGGTAGGGGTCTGGTTGTTGACATGACTCATTGTCTTATTATAACAATCATTTGTGCCAAGTTATTTCAAATTCCTTCAATAAAAGCTTGAAGTTGATAAAGATTTGTTCATACATATTTCAACAAGAGGGCCATGTATATATAGGCCCCTGGAGCGGGGCCAGTTTAAACCCCAGGCTTTTATTTGACCAAACTTGTAAGACACCCGTTAGAAGATGTTTCATGATGTTAAGTTTTTACTACACACATATAATGTAAAACAAAGACCTCTGCACCACCCCCCACCCCGGCATGGCCAATTTTTATACAAGGGCTTAAATTTGAACAAACTTGGTTGACACCATAAGATGTTTCATGCTAAACATCTAGGCTCTAGTTCATTGGGTTTTTTAAAAGAAGATTTTTTAAGTTTTTACTTTACACAAATAGTTAGAAACAATGAAACCCCTGGGGCGGGGCCAGTTTTGACCCCAGGGCTTTTATTTGAACAAACCTTGTACACACTTACCAGAAGATGTTTCATGCTTAATATCTAAACTCTAGCTATTTTGGTTTTTTCAAAGAAGATTTTTAAGTTTTTACTATATGCATATAGGGAAATTCAATGACCCCTGGGGAGGGGCCAATTTTGACCCCCAGGGCTTTTATTTGAACAAACTTGGTAGACACTCACTAGAAGATGTTTCATACCTTTAAAAGAAGATACTTTGTCTAAGCTCTAGCTCTTTGGGTTCTTTAAAAGAAGATACTTTAAGTTTTTTTCTTTTGGTTGCCATGGCAACCAGCGTTCTATGAACAATATTTAGAGGTGACCACCAAAGAAACATTCCTGTGAAGTTTGGATGAAATTGGCTTAGTGGTTTATGAGGAGATGTCATTTTAAGTAAAAGTTTACGGAAGGACGCCAGACGAAAAGCGATCAAAAAAGCTCACCCTGTCACTTTGTGACAGGTGAGCTAAAAATAGTTAAGTGATCTTATTTTCCTGGTGAAAACTGGTGGCTCAATAAAGTTCTATACATATGAGCCGCGCCATGACAAAACCAACATAATGGGTTTGCGACCAGCATTGATCTAGACCAGCCTGCACATCCACGCAGTCTGATCAGGATCCATGCTGTTTGCTTACAAACTCTATTACAAGTAGAAAAACTGATGGCGAACAGCATGGATCCTGATCAGACTACGCGGAGGCACAGGCGGGTTCGGATCCATGCTGGTCGCAAACATGCTATGTTGGTTTTGTCATGACGCGGCTCATATTATGATATTTCAAATATTGGAAAGTTATCTCTAGTTCTTGGTGAAAGACTGGTGACTAGTTTTCTCTTCAATGTCATTTCTTTTTCTAATTAGATTAAGTCATGGGCTTCATGAGGCTTTCGACATCACATCTAAGAACTCTTTATCCAACATTGCAAAGGGCAGGCAGTCTCCTGGTATTCCAATTTCATTTAAGTTTTATAAAACCACAATATTTCTATTTCTTTAGTGTTTCCGACATGAAGACACATCTACATGTATCTTTCATTATCACTCCTGCTTTTACTGTTCTATCATATAAGCGCCTCTGTTTCCTGAAATATTTGTTTAGAAAAAGTTAATTGCAAAGTTAAAATTCCACTTGTAAACCCTTGCCGAGCTCGAACTTACAGCAGTGAAAGGCTTAAAGGTTTAAAGTCAAGAAACTAAACCAATCAGTCACAGACACCCCAAGTATTTTATCTATTTGCTAAGCAGCAATTTTTTCAAAATTATTTAAATTCATAAATGTGAGTGATTCTGATAAGCTATAGACAGCTAAGTGATGATAAAATGATCATATATGTCAGATAAGTCGGAGTGCTAACACTGCTTACTGTGAATATTCAATATTTTAATGTGAATTGTCCTGAGGTAAAAAGGAAAAGAAAGCTGAATTCCTAAATACATGTTACATGTCACAATTATTGTTCTTGCTATTAATTTTGTTCCTAATTTCTTGTAAAAGATATTTAAATACACTGTAATTCTTTTTTATAAATTTGGCTTTTTGTGACAATAGTCTATCCAGTGACCGAAGCTCACCGACTTAAAATAAACTGTCCTGTGTCAGCCTTTAAACAAATCAAGAAAAAAAAGCAATTAGAATATAATAATTAAGAAATATCATATACAAATACTTCTAAATAATCATGTACCTCTTCCTTAAAAGCCCATGCTATTGAAAGAAACATTTTTTCCATTTGTTCACTTCAAGGTTAGTCAGATTTACAGTCTCACATTTTAGCCTTTATCTCTCGTGATTTCATTGTCATTGACCCTAAAGCATCCTTAAAATCGATATCCTGCTGTTCACATTCATAAATCTGACATGTAGGCCGAACTTCTGAAACATAAAATATAATTATTATTAGATATACATATAGTATCCCAATAATTATGTTAGTTGATATCAAATCAATAATTTAAGCAGTGTTCGAAATTAGCAGTAGTCCGAGAGCCCGACTACTAAATTTCTCCTCGGGCTATCAACTTTTCACAGTAACAAGCCCGACCAAGCTACTGTATTTTCAGAGGCAATATAAACAACTGTTTTGAACAAATGAATCGTGCTAGTGAAATGTCTTTTGGGCAAGTGAATATTCCAATCTAGTAGTCCGACCAGCCTAGTCGATTCAAATCCTAATTTCTTACACTGTTTAAGAAACAATTTGTTCAAAATTGTCCAAGCATAAAGATTTTTATAGTATACTATAGTAATTATAGTGTATATACAGTATGTATTAAATGTCTTTACTATTTACTATACTGTCCTGAAATTTCAAGAAAACAACTATCTTTAAAATCCATTTTCTCAGAAGTTGCAAAACCAAGTGAATGAAATTGCTCTGGGTTTGTATTATTCTGTACAACTTCTGATCACAAAAGCTTCAAGGACATTTATGAGTGAGTCAGGTCCTATCTTGAAAGATTGTTGTTCAAGTTTGAAGACAATCCATTCAAAAATAACAAAGTTATAGCCACTAATAGCAAAAATCAAGAAGATTTAGACATATACCTTGAATGTTAATATGGTGGTCAAGCTAATTTAGTTTAGTCTGGATTATTTGAAGGGTTGTTGTGGCCAAGTATGAAGACAATACACCAAGATCTGAAAAAGTTATGAACAAGGTTAAAGTTTGATGACAGCAATGGGAAAGCCGTCATGACTTACAATATATTTAATAATTTTGGCCCTAATGCAAACTGAAAATTCTAGCCTATAAACACTGTTGAGACTAGCTGTTCAGCATTTTTTCAATAATAAATAAATGCAATGATAAAGTCGGTAACTTGCAAGTCTTCTAACATAATTTTTTACAAAGAATGAACATATATATATTTTCTCCTAATCTTAAAGATTATTTATCTTAAAGATAATTTCAAACAATATGTTATTAACTAAACAATCTATATCCTAATATATGGTTTTAATAGAGGGCCGAGTTGACCTGTCCCGAGTTGGTATAGGGCCGAGTTTACCTGTAAATTCAATAATGTAAACAATCCTTGACCTAATTTCACTTGTCTAACAAATTAACATCTGCAAACACAAAACGATTTTGAACAAAGAAATAAAAGCATTTCCACAAACCTTTGCGATGTTATTCATCAGCAAATCTATGTCTTGGATGGAGAAATCTCAAAAACACGAACGTTATTCTGTCGATGGTCCGAACAATGGCGGGTGTGCCCTACTTCTTATTAGTCAACACCAAGTTTTACCAAATTGCATCCGTTAATTCCAGAATACTTTTGAAAGACTTGTATTGTAATCTTGTTTTTTATTATTTATATAATAATATTTTTGTTTCAAACGCTTTGATTCTAAGCTATGATAGTTTGCGAACCATTTTTTGCGAAAATAGTACAGTACAGAACGCCTTTTTAAGGCCACATAGTTTCCTCTTGAGTTATCGACGTAAAAAAATCAGCGGTGGCATAAAATGCTATTCAATAAATTGCTAAATATATACAATAAATACTTTCATTTCCCTTCGGTTGACTTATATATGTGAACTTTTCAGCATCTCTGCTACAAAATTACACCTTATTTATATTCAATTTATTGTACATAGGTACATGGACACAAACTTTTCTTTGGCCTAATGCGTAATAATACTGATGTTTTTTTTCCGTACACGTTTAAGATTATGTTCCATTGATGTAAGCTAACATTGAATATCATCATTTCAAGTTTTTTTGAACATCAGCTTTTTCTTCAAGTCATCCACGTTTGAAAGTATACATATAGTTCTGCTGCACTACTTTCTTGGTCGCATTAACTACTTATTTTCTATTGAGCTTAAACAGACTTCAATTAGGTGTTGTTCGTTCTTTTTCAATATAGGCAGACCGATAATATAGAAAGGAAATTTTTTTTTGAAAAAATTTCCTTCCAAAAATAACAAAATAAAGAAAAACTTTTTTAAATAAAGAAACGAATAACAAGCAGGTTAACCATTATTTTTTTATTCTTACAAGTTTTAATGTATCAATTCAAAATATTGTAAGAAGAATCATGATGCGGACATATCAAGAAATCTAAAGTATTTCCGTGGTATAGTTCCCATGTCAAAACCTTCTGCTTGAATGGTGATATGTTTGAAAATATTTCCTTATTGATAACCTTATAGACTAACTATCATACATAAGTAAGAAATATGAAGTGACATGTAATGGATATTATTTGCATTGGAAACAAATAAATTTGTGGTTATCTTATTCAAACATTTGTGAATTTTGTGACATAAACAGATGGAAAATGGCTTAATATTTAATAATAAAATGACCAGAGTTTTGGTGAATTCGAGTGATGTCTAGTTAGTTTCTGGTATTTCTGAGAATCTATTGTTTTAAAGGGGCGTTAAGCTTCATTTGGTGACATAAACAGATAGAAAAATGGCTTAATATTTAATCATAAAATGGCAGAGTTTTGGTGAATTCGAGTGATGTCTAGTTAGTTTCTAAAAAGCGACTTATAAGCAAATTACTTGAACTATCTTTTACTTATGTTGATTTTAGCAATAAGTACAAGTGTTATAGTGATTAAGTATTTTGTATGGAAGTCAAAACAGTGCTTTATTTACATTTTGTTTCTTTTATGACAAAGTATTTTATGTTTACCGCTACATTTGTCAGATAGAAACATTTATCTCTAACATGCTCTAAAACTTAACCATTATAAAACTCATGTTTGCCTGTTTTTAGGAAGAAAAAAAATCGTTTCTGAGGTATTTCTGAGAGCTTTTAGCACCATAAACTGACCGTAAGTAACCTCTCAAATTATTATTGATTCTGCCATGAGCATAATACACGGATCAATACTCCACCGCCCACGCATTCAACACTTCTCGGTAGACGTAAACGTTTCACAGAAAATTCTCACACCATGATTTTGTTCACTGATCATTATTCGCACTATGAACATCATAAACTGAGCATAAATGAAAACTTGCAACACCACCACCACCTACGACGACGACAACAACAACAACAACACCAAACAACAAAAAACAACAGCAGCAGCAGCAGCAGAAAAAGCAGAAGCAGAAATAGCAGAAAAAGCAGCAGTAAAATCAACAACAACACAGGAACTAATAAATAAAAGATATAAGATATTCTGAATATTTACTTTATTTTATGGGTAAGACAAGTATATTTTATACGCGTGCAAGCTGGTATTAAAATAACCGGCGACTAGCCATTTGGAATAAATACAATCTTTTTAAAAGCAAAGTTAGATAGTATTTGATTTTTCGTTCTCTCGCCCTCTTTTTGCAAAATAAATCACAGGCTATGTGGAAGTAAATACGATATATTGTGATAATTTGTCATTTTGTTTCTAATGTTGTTGAAGTATGCAAATGAAGAAGGTTTTTTATATGTCACTTCACTGGCTTTGGCATTTATTAATCGCCTAAATAAAACTTTTATTTGTTTTCTGTTATTCCATTCCCATTTCCATTGACACAGATAGCTATGGCATTGATTTACTAGTCTTGCATAAAAACCGCATCATGCAAGTGTAAGACAGGCATTTACGTATATTCTTGCATAAAAACCACGCACGCAGGTATACATAAACAGTGAGGAAAGTTGCCTTAACGGATAGAGTCTCGTGACCACGCGCTGTTACTGCACGTTTATTATTTGTTTGGATCGTCAGATTTATGTTTTAGGACCTCAGTGGAGCTCCTTTAATTAAATACCTTAACAAACTTATTTATTATAAACCGTTTTTAACTTTAAGGTCCCAGCTTCTTTCAATATTTCATTTTGATACCACTTTCAATTGTTCATGCGTCTTAATGCTCGAAAAACGCATAAAAACTGTTTCGCGCATGTCACTTGATGGTGTGCCAATCACGTTAACTTTTTGGTCCTTCCGAATAATCCAGGCGGGGAACAATAGCTTTATATAAATACATAGCAAATTAAATCGTGTGACTGAAAAGAGATCAGAAAATGTTTTGCTAGCGTCTTTAACGGATTTGTTTAGTAAAGTTTTTTTGGTGAGAATCAATCAGGGGTTAAACATACAAGATTGTCCCCGAGCGCTCAAGATTCATGGTCGAGTGATTTCCCATGCACTTTACTGTTAGCTACATTTGCGTGAAGTTTGTGAGAGGGATATGACGGAAACGAAATTATTGGGAGGTTTGGAATTGTTTCTTTTATTTTAGGACGTCGAAGAACTAAGTGTCAATAAAAAATGCAAGTGTACATTTGCGTGAAGTTTGTGAGAGGGATGTGACGGAAACGAAAGTATGGGAGGTTTGGAATTGTTTCTATTTTTAGGACGTCGAAGAACTAAGTATCAATAAAAAATGTAAGTTATTTTATATTTTATTAAAACTATATAGCCGAAACGTAATATTATTACACAGGAAAACCGGGAAAGCGTTGCTGTTTTTTAAAGGAAAAAATTGTAAATATTTCAAAGAAAATCCAGGAAATGTTATTGTATCACATAAAACTTGTAAAATATCAAATATTTTTCGTAGGTACAATTTGTTTGACACAAAGTTAAATTTTCCATGAATAATGACTTTAATTATAAATTAACATTAATCATAAGTATCACTAAATGCCACTTTACTGGTTGTGTGTAATCGTTTTGTCCAGCATTGCATTGGAACATTCCATTCGAAGTTAAAGGGATTTCGAAACCAAAAGCTTACACCAGTATAGAGTCTGATGCGCGTGATGTCCTGGCTCTAAGGGCAGATTACTGGTTTCAGCAGTGTAGGAGTTAAATATAAATCGTAACGCATAATTACAATATGTTGTGTTTTTTTTAACTGTGGCACTATATTATTTATTATTGTAAATAATTAGTACATGTACATGTGATGATTCTCTTACTGTAGGATTCTTTTCTGTTTTAAAGGATGGTTATAACAATAATTTTATTTATTTCCTTCTATACTCAAAAGTCACATGTTGAAAAACCAGATAATACAATAGCTAACATATGATTTTTTAACAAAACTTTGTCATAGGTAATTGGCTTATGATATAAAACAAAATACAGATATGAATAATTGATAGTTGGCATATGAGGTCTAACAAAGTATTGACACGGATGATTGACGTGTGATATGTGAAAATGATGGCCATGTTGATGACAATGTTGTTGTTTATGGTAATGTTGATGAGGACGTCCATTGGTGTAACAATGATGATGAAATGACGTTGTTCAAGGTAGTGAGCAGTAATCAGGTAAATCTAGTTATTTATAGAAACTAGCTTTTTTTTAGAAACTAGTTATTTTTAGGCAAATGAGTTTTAACTTTTCTTCGTAAGTTTTATCAGTTTCAGAAGATGAAATTTCAAAAGGAACCAATGAACTTGCCAGTAATCATACTATATCGGGCCATGCTTATGAAACAAGGACAGCACACATTATGCAACGTATTTTTTTAAATTGATTGATTGATTTTTTTAGACCGGGCGGTCAAGGATAACCTACGAAAGTGCAAGCACTTATTTCCAGTGGGGTCCTTACCTCAGCAGACTGCAGAGATAGCTATGAGATACAAGGAAATCCGGGAACCAGTCCCTAGCTCTTATTGAATAGATTCCTAGGTTCTTTTACATGCCCAGTGTATAGCACTGATACATGCGATGATTATCTGGGTTTCGTACCAGTAAACCTCTAGTTAGGTGGGAAACCCTGAACGTGTTTCTGAAAAATCCCAAGGGTGTTACCCAGGATCGAACCCGGAACCTCAGGAGTGACAGTCAGTGGTCTTACCAACTGAACTATCGTAAAAACGTAAAAACAGCATACTTATTTAATTCAATTTACATTTGGAAATTTGACATTATAAGAAATTTGATATACATATATACATGTAAATGGTATTATGTCAGTAACTGAAATTGCGTAGAATTACAAAATTATAGTTTAGAAACGAAGATTTTTTTTGTCAAAATTGAAAACTATGTTTTATGTTTATGTATTTTGACGATATTTTGTGTGAATTGTTTATATCGATTTTGGTTGTTTTGGTTTCTTTCTCAAATTTTTGGAGTTGGTGTGTGATTGGGGTTATTCGATTTGGGTTCGGTGTTTTAGTTTGTCTCTTTGTGGGAGTTGTTTATGTGTGTTATGGTAGTTTTTCTTTGTCTTTGTTGGAGTTGTTAATGTCATTTGTGTGTTATGGTAGTTTTTCTTTGTCTTTGTTGGAGTTGTTAATGTCATTTGTGTGTTATGGTAGTTTTTCTTTGTCGAAAATTCAGGCCTTATTTCTGAATAGTTTGGGAATTGGTGGTCGATAAGACAGTTGATTCTTTGCTGGTACATTGTGATCGATTTGAAAATTTTGGATTTTGTTATACATGTACTAGTCGAATTATTATTATTCATCATTTCAAATAGTTATATCAATTTCATTAGAAATGGGAGACATTTATAGTTATATTGAATTTTTAGCTGTACAATACCCAATTTTGTATAATTATATTGATGTTTAATATGAGTAATGATATTTTTGATAATTATATTAATATTTATAGGCGGAGAACGCGACAATATATTAAGGATAACATTGGTTCTTTTAGATTTAGAACGTGACATTTCTAATAATGATATTTGGGTGTTGAATGCGACATTTTTAACAATTATATATACTGATTATTTTAGATGCAGAATGCGACATTTTAGACTAGTATAATATTATTGTTCTTTGTTTTTTCGTTGGTTTTCAGATGGCGTAAGAAAACATTACTGGATTACTTTTGAAAGACAAAACTAGATAAAATTGTATATTTCTAAATATTACCACTATATATTTCAGACTTTTGTTCGATTGATGGTAA